TGCTGTATACCCCACTCCAAGCAAAAGCCCTTTCCAGAGCTGGAATGATGCACCCTGCGCTCACCATTTAAAATGGATTTGTGAAAAAGCACCACATTCTGCAGATTGATCAAATTTGACACATTTGAAAATTCTCGTGTTTTAATATAGACACATTTAGACATGATTGGTCATATAAAATACAGCTGATTTTAACTATAAAATGAACGTTTAATGATGTTTGTTATAATATTTTTGTCCATGGGTACATATGCACTGCTGTTGTATAAAAACTATACACAAAAATACATTTAAGGGTCTTAAATAAAATTTATTTTTTCCCTTTTTGTGAATGTGATGACAATATTTCAGACTAGGTCACAGAGACCAATAACTAACTGAAGAAATAAACTAAATATTCCTCTGTGTCAGAGGAACAACTGAAATGCACAGCTAAGACCAGGCAGGCAGCTTATATTCATGATGATAACAGTATACCTGACCCTGCCATAATGAGGCTCACAGAGCTGCAAAATGCTCCCTCAGTTGTTTCAGGAGCTGCTGTGTGTCCACATGTTCTGGAAAAGCATCCTCAGACTTCTGGGCTGCTATGTAACTGCTCTGTAGATCACCAATCTGAAAACACAGTTTGCCATTCTTTTAATTTAGGGGAACCATAACATGAAAATGTTGTGTCTTTGTTTTTCAAAGGAATATTTACCTTTTCAGAAAGAATAGAGAGGTTGAAGTGAGGCTCGTACATATGAGGTGCCAGTGACGCAGCTGTTTGCAGGAAGGCCTTACTCTACATTAAACATAATATAATTAAAAGTAAATCATCTGTTCTAGCATAATTAGAACATATTTACTGTAGATTGACTGTATATTTACTGCTAGTTGTGTGGAAAAGATAGTAAGACAACTTAATGCAGTAGCATCAAGCCTTATTTTAAATCAGACACATTCATTGATTAACACTTTAAATGTAATGAGTTTATAAGCTCACTTGTTCAACACGACCTTTGCGCAACTCCAACACAGCAAGGTTGTTGTAGGCTTCAGCATGATCATTATTAAAAGCAAGTGCCAGTTTGAAACACTGATAGGCCAAAGTAACATCCCCTATTCCCTGTAAACATAATAAACTCAACATTATTTAAAGGCATAAAAAACATAAAAATACCCAACACAATAAAGCTGTAAAAGTTTTGTGGAGAGTATTTGAAGGAATGACTCACCACAGCAACATGCCCAATGTTATACCAGACATCAGCCTGCTCTTCATCATTGGCTACCAAAGACAAAGCCCTTTCAAATGATGACAAGGTCATGTCGTACTGCTGAGCATAGAAGCAGCACAGGCCCAGGTTGTTGTACAGCTGGCAATTATACACACCCATCTGGAGAAGACGTCTAGAAAAATACATTAAAATACAATATTAATATAATTGATTCATATACAATTTACCTTTACATTTATTGACCTGTAAAACCGCAGGGCAATTTCAGGCTGATCAGTGTAGAAATGATTACTGCCAATACAAGCTATTGCTTCAACATGGGTGTTGTCTTGCTTCAGCACTTCTTTATAGTATTCTGTTGCTGATGTAATGTTGTTCATCTCCTTACAGTAAGAAAGTGCATAGAACATTAACATATTTTGATATACAGGACGCAAAATGTAAATGTATTTTAAAAACAAAGCAAATGAGAAATTTTGATGATTATGACATACCTCATGTATACGAGCAATTCCCGTTAAAAGAGTGACTTCTCCAGGAAAATGGTCCAGGCCTTGCTTAAACAGGTTAAGTGCCGTAATTGGTTGATCCAAACGCTGATACACCTTTTCAGTAAAACTGGTTAAATTTTCTCTGTATCTAGAATATTAACAGTATATACAGTGGCCAATGCTGTTATAAAATTGCACCATTACCTTTGCAAGATAGAGGTAGGTATCTACAACCTCCTGATGGTTAAGTGCAGATCTAAATTGTTTTTCTGCTTCTCGATATAAGCCAAGCCTGCAAAAGTTAAAATTTTAATATTATTAACTGGTACAACAAAATATTATTGTTGTAATGATTTATGAGTGTTACCTATAGTAACATTTCCCCAGCTGAACCTTCCACCACCAGTCTTTGAACTGGGCATGCTCAGTCGCCTGAGCAGCCAAATCTAAGGCCTATGGGTAAAGGAAAGGAAACATACAGTATGCACTATGTTTACACACCACTCCCCTGAGCAGTGTATATGAGAACACTACTTACATTTTTTATGTCATTTTCATGATGAAAGATGTACTCAAACAATGTCTGTAATGAAAATGTTTTGTTACTCAAGCATGCTTGAAACATAATGGTTTTAATTATTTTTAAAATGTTTTTACCCTTGATAAATTAGGTTTTTGGGAATACTTGGCCAGGTTAAGTCTTGACAGGTTTATAAATGGCCCATCTGGATTTGTTATCATTGAAGCCTGGAGAATGAACCAACATACCAACCACTCATGTTAATGTATTCTGTGACTTGTGAACAAAAATATGAATACAAATGCACATGACATAACTGTGCCCAAACGTATGAATCGTCCAGAAGAACTAGTGACAGGACGAGCAGTGCTTGCTGTGCGGGGGGTCTTAATAGCCTGCTCCATTGTTCCAGGGCGGCCTGACTGAGTGCTGGGTCTCACAAATCCGGTGATGGGGCGCCCAGACTGTGTCATTGGCCTGCATTTGTTTTGGTAAAAAATGCTTTTGATTTCTGAAAACAATAGCAGATTATGCTGATATTAAAACGTGTGTACCTGACAGCAGGGGTTGGTCCTCCACCCTGACTTGTACCAGGGAGCCTCAGTGAAGTACCAGGGCCTTGGGAATGTAGAAAAAGTTAGAAAAATTGCAGTTACATTCTATCATTTTAAGGTCACATAAAACGATAGCTTACGTGCCACTTGAGCAATGGCGTTCTCATCTAGTAACATCTCAGCAATCCCTTCTTCGTCAACTTCAACTTCATCTATGTAGACCATCTCTGTCAGAGCACGGGTTTTCAGACTCCAAGCAGCCTGAGATGAAAATAATGTCTCAAGTTGCAAATCTACTCACATAGCTTTTCATGATAGAAGAATGTGATACTTAAAGAATGAAACTTAAAACATTAAGTATGTGTATTAGAATTATGTAGAAGTTATTACCTCTGAAATAAACAATGATGAATCCTTAATACAGCAAAAGTGGTTTAAAGAAAAACAGTGAGATATAGGGTAAAAGAACATAGAGGTAAAGAATAAGTACTGTTCTTAGAAAACAATAGGAACCAAAACAATTCTATTCTATAGTAGAGCTACTATAGCACATCATTTATAGGGTGATCAGACATCCCCATTTACCCGGGACAGTCCCAGTTTTGAGCCCTGTGTCCCCTGTCCCACCAGATTTATCCAAAATCAGTGATTTGTCTCAGTTTTATACAAGAAATGTCTCAGGTGTCCCTATTTTTGACCAATCTGATCCCTACCAACAGTAAAGAGAGGCATAAACTGTCACTTGTTGAGGTAAAATACAGAAACGGTGCTTAAAAATGACCAAAACAGAAAATATGACTTTACTGACTCACATTAGTGCCGAGTGAATAACAATTTTCCTTAATTACGCACTCGTTTCACACTTTGATTGTTTCCAACCACCACAAATCGGAGGTCTCTCGGTTTTTTATTTTGAAAATCTGGTCACACTATGCATTTAACATAACGTTACAGCTACCTAATGTTAAATACACAATGCAGTTAAACTTTATACATCTGTCTATGCAAAATGATGGTCACTGCTAATCAGGATTAGTGTAAGAGCTGCAGAACAAACCTCTTGGACAGCTTTGCATTGCACGTAGTGGCTAGCATACTAGGCTAACAAGGCTACACACTGTACATACCTGGTCGTATGGGCCGTCTTGTAATATTTTTGTACAGATATCCGAACACTGCTGGAACTTCCGTCTCCTACAGTAGCTCCACGCCAGAAACAAAGGGTCCATCGAAACCTCCATGTCTTCTTGTTCCTGGATTCACTAAAAAGCTGAGGAAAAGCCAAAGGGACGGTGGCGAGTAAAGCTTTCGTGTTACCTAGCAACGGCAAGAGGGGCGGTCCTATACTTCCAGCTTAAAAAAAATAAAAACAAAAAAACAAAAAAATAAAATAAAATAAATGTAAGCTAAACATATACTTATATTATTACAAAATCGCTTAACCATAGTAATAATACAAAATAAAAATAAAAATCTCATGCCCACTTTTTGGCACGAGGCTTTGTAAGCGTATGTGATTGGAGGAAGGCGCTCTCGTCGTCACTGTGGGCGGTGCACGGGAAACAACAGCGCAGCTCCATCTTTGTAGGATTTGACAGGAGCTTTGACCTGTGCTGAAGGAGCCCGTTAACCTGCTGCTGAACAAGTGGATTTGCAAAATGAAGATCGCAGCGTAGACGTGTGTACTTCTACCTGGGCCACGCAGGAGCTTTTTACTTGACCAAACGCCGGAGACTAATAAGTGCTGCACGCGAAACTCCAAAATGTCCAATTTCAGCGCGGGTAGGAAATGACGGATATGCAACCGATCGAACCGATGGCACACACGGGCTTAGAATAAATCCTTTTTGGCGAATGACACTTTATAGGCAAACCTAGGTAGGGGTTGACCGACGGAGAGAGACACGCGGAAGTGCGGACATGGCTGACAGGACTGCTCCCAATTGCCACCTGAGACTGGAGTGGGTGTATGGATACCGGGGACATCAGTGCCGCAACAACCTGTACTACACCGCTGCAAAGGAAATCGTCTATTTTGTGGCCGGTGTGGGAGTTGTGTACAACACCAGGGAGCACAAGCAAAAATTCTTCCTGGGACACAACGACGACATTATCAGGTAGTATGGCAACATCGTGTCTTAATTTCAGCACCAGGGACAGCGCCGCCAAGAACTCCCCCAGTAAAAAAAATGACATAGAAGCTGGTTTTCTCGTTGTTGTTGTAATGTAATATGATATGATTTTTTTGCAGTGACAGAGAGGGAGCAGGGTCATTTTGGGGCGTATAGTGACAGTACTCTCACTACAATAGTCTGCTGCCACTCCTCAGGCTGCAAGAGCTTTAACACCATAACCTTGTGAACAGGGTGACTGAATATGGGACAGTGTTGAAATTTGTCACTCTTAAGGGTAATATGAAAGAGCAAATCTGGCTATATCCTTAAACTATTTCAGTAATATTGCCTGGATTTTAATTAATCAGAGGGCTCGGGATTTTTCAGTTTCACTGTACACGTTACTGGTAGTCACAATACAAACATTTCGAACTTGATTTAGATACTCAAGAATAGACTTGATAACCAATACCTCTTTTAGTACCACTATGATAATAAGACACTCTTTATTTATACAATAGAATGTGACTTTCAACATTAAATCGTAGTACTTTCTTTTATATTACCATATGGCTTTAAATCTGTGTCTCAAGATCACTCTAAACCTATTCAGGAAAGGTTGATTTCTGTCCTGTGAGTATGTCTTTTTTAACACTGATACTTGCTCAAATGAGTATCTTGTTTTGATACTAGTTTTAGTATCGATTAGTATCCAATATTTGATTTCTAACTTCAACAATCCGAGTTACTGGTGATCCTTAATTAACCTATTTAGCATAAATTAACCAAACATGTTATTTTAGTAGTGATTTCCCTGTCAAAATAAGACACCTATTGTCTAATTTTACACTAGAGGAGTCAAGATATTGTGTTCACATTGTCTTTTCTACAGCAGAGCTTTTAGGGCCATTTAAGGAGATTATGGCTCTCTTAACCTGCATGCCACCTCTGTCCTTTTCCCTCAGATCAGTGGAGCACCTAACTACTGTTGTATCACACGAGTAATCATCCTGCCTTTCTCCACTCTCTCCCTCTCTCTTTGCACATGTGACCCTACAATGAGCAGTGTCCACTGCTCCAGTGCTTGCCTTTACATGCGTGTCTGTGACTGAGGGTTGGCCCGGAGATGACTTGCCTTGTGTCGTTAGTCAGCTGGGCCCCTGCTACATTATTCATCATACACAATGGAGGTAGTAGAATGAAGGGTGAAAGGTTCAAGCAAGTGGCCTCTAAAGTCATTAACCACTATGTACAGGGTAGGTTGGTGCAATGGTAGTGTACGCTGCTCACTGATCCTGTTATAAACTACAGTGTAAGAGGCTTCAGTGCAAACTGAAAGTGCCAAGTAGGACTGTAGGCCTTTAAATGTTTAGTCGATTAATTGGTTAATGGTGCTGAACAAAATTCTTATCGCTCCACTAATCATTTTATTTCATTTATAAGGATTGATATGTGAGTGAGTTTGCTGAAAATTTTGTATTTTTTGGTATTTATATGCAAAAAGGCAAATTAAATGCATGATTCACAAGTTTAATCTGTCTTTGTATAAATAGATTTTTGCATAAATTGTAGTTTTTGCAAGTGTAGCCCTGTCAGTGCAGTTTGGATCATATAGATACATAGAGATGTACATAGAATTATGAGAGCTTTTACCATGCCCTCTTTTTTAGTCAACTAATTGATCGGCAGGACTGTCTGTAGGTTGTCTTTAGTCAACGACAGCCCTAATGTCAACATAAATTGATACTGAAGTTCATCAAAAGGGATGCTTGAGAATATTTCATTCACAAAAGTTGGTCACACATATAGTAAGCAAAGAATGAATTAAACAAATTAATCAGTTTGCTTTTTTGGAATGAATACACAATAACTGAAACAATCACTACCTTTTCTCCCCAAATGTTGTAAGATCAAGACATTTTGGCTCCCATCCAGAAGCCATTTCATCAGTTGAAAATGGCTTTTGGATGGGATCCGAAATGTCTTGATTGCAAAAACCATATCCAGACGCTGTTTCATTTGGTACTGTATAGTTTGTCTGTCCTGTTATCATTTTCTTTATGTTGATCAATAATTTTACTTTAAAGGTCCTATATTACAAAAAATTTACTCTTATGAGCTTTAAGCCATGTTAGAAACAAATCACAACTCCAGGTATGTTTGCGATGAGGAAACTACATTATAGCTTAAATTAAAAAATAGCAAAATGTAGGCCATTTAATATACTAATAATTTTAGATTTCAATCAGATTTTCTTGAACAGAAACAAGACTTGTGCCATTTAACACACAAAATAGCTCAATATACCCCTCTAAAGTCTGAAGTCAATCGCATACTTTACTGACAGAAGATTGGCTGTAGACCAAAAAGCGATTAATCGCATAGATCAGTCTTTGTCTGCTTCAGGCTCTTCATATTAAAATGTCTTTCTGAGAATAAAGTCTATTGATGGGCTAATTGCTGCACTCTCCCCTCTTCTTCACTTTGCCCCACAGGCACATTAAATTGTCATGGTATTAAGCAGCTAAGAAGTGCACACATCTCGCCCTTGACCAAGTTACTAGCTTGCTGGAGTTTGGAATAATTTTACATTCTGAATTTTTGACTTCAAGGCATCTTTTGTAGAAGACATCAGCTGAATTTTGCAGTGCAGGAAGGTGCACACTGCATACCCAAACTCAGATCGCTTTTTTTTTTGCACAGTAAATGGTGTGAACTAGCTCTGCATATCAATTTGAAAGTTGAAGTTAAACACTTGAGCTGACAAAATCTAAATTACCATCTTTTTAGCCTGTGAAGCAATGGGCCTCATTATTCTATATTTACGTCATAAAATGTTTCTGACGCTAAAAAGTATGAAACACGGCTATTGTGTGGTAGAAATAATAGTAAAAAGTTCTGCCTATGATCATTTGAGTCAATTCAGCAGGAAGCCTATGGGCCAGCAAAAAAATTGGGCCGTAGTTTGGACACCCCCGCTATAAGGTTACAACAGTTTGCACAATAAGTGGCTTTGACTGTGGTTATAAATAGCAGAAACACCTGGTTGTATTCAGGACAGAGGTGTGTGAGGTCACCAAATCCCTAAAATTGCAGTGACCAGTGGAGCCAGGACACACCCTATATATATATAATATATATATATATATATATATATATATGTATGTATGTATGTGTGTATATATATATATATATATATATATATATATATATATATATATATATATATATATATATATATATATATATATATATATATTATAAACAAAAATTTACCTTGTTGCACTAAAATGATGGACTAGGTACAGTAGATATACCATTCCAACATTTAAACATTCAAACACTCTAAACAGTTTAAGTCAGTCACTTTACCTTGTAGATTGAAATATAGTAAAAAACAATTTTCCAAATGTTGTACTGTACTTGTCCTGTTCTATGTTTAGCCTAAGCTGCTGGTGTATGGGCAGGTGTTTTACATGAAGAACGATGGATGTCTGGATTATAATGTGAAATCCTGCAAAATATCTTTTACTGTATAGACGTTCAGAAATGTGCTAATCCTCTGCCCTTAATCCATTCAAGGCAAAACCACAGCAGTCTGTCTGTATGAATTTGACTCTATTTTAGCATGGGGCTCATATAGGTCATGTATGTCGCCTATAGTGATGGAACCTACTACCAACTGTTCATTTTCCAGGGTAATCGCCATCTGATAGGAGTGTAGCTATAACCATGACATTGTGATATTGCTAGGATGGGAAAATGAATAGCTATTGAATCAAAATTAGAGCTGGATAAACTCTGATCAGTATGTTATAGTTTCAATGTAGCTGAAATTAGCCCTGTCACAATAATAACTATAACAACTTAATGTCAATATATGAAAACTGGAACAATATACTGGGATTATCCTGCTTTGTTTGAATTGTGTTAGTGGCATAAAGTAGTTTCAATATCGTTAATTGAAATATTTCTCTGTAGCGATACATTGTGCTTCAGAATAAATGAAATTACTGTGTCAAAAAGTACCGTTAATTAAATTATTGCAATAATACATCACAAAACACAATATTTTCCAATATTATGCAGCCCCATAAATCCATTTCCAAATTTGTTAAGTCATACATATTGCCATCTCTCCAAAATCTCTCTCAAATGTCTCACAATCTCAATAATATTCTGCGTATGTACTGTGTGTATGTATGTTATTTTCCTAGTAGAGCATCCATGCATATTATTCATCCTCATGGCATGTTGTGAGTTGCTATCTTGTAAAGTCACACGAATTACCCAGGCTGCTGCAGAGGTGTCATTGCCTTATTTTGCCCTGATTTCCTTCCATTGCTTTATCAAACCCAGCAGATTTAGTGGGAGGGCTACCTGCATGTGCCCGAACACAACTGTCTGCATCTCAAGTAATGCGTTCCCTGTTCTATTTTTAGCCACCACACTCTGATTATATAATGCATAAAAAGTAAAATGGGAGATTGTTCCAGGTTGGTTGTGAAACAAAGTAGAGTAGGTTAAAAGAGGTTAAAGACGTGTTCTCTATCTTGGGTCTGTCAGGACTGTTGTTGCAGGGAGTTTCTATCAGAGAGAAGGTGCCAAAAGTCAGTGGATGATTCATGCTGTGGCTCTGGCAGGGAGAGGAGAGGCACCAGGAGAGACAAGTGAGCTAAAAGTACGGAGGGAGAGTGAATGCAGGGCTGCTGTCTGGATACAAGCCAGGAGAAGAAATTCTGAATCCCAAATGCATAGTGTTAGAAGAGAAGGTCCAGTATGGATTATTTAAGACAGTGCAGATATCTGATATTTGTCTTGCCACTGCAGACAACCGATATTTGCTAAGATGATGATTATTAACGTTTTAAAACCCACCCAGCAAGCCCCTAGCCAGGCTGGCACCACCTAGTGCCTCCGCTCAATTGTATTTCTCTCCAGCGACAAGGTCAGGAATCAGAATACACTAGATGGTCGCAAAAACCCCCAAAGTGCGACTTCAGGCACCAGCCAATCAGCAAAGAGCAATATATTCTGTGTTGGCAATGATTCCCGAGATCGAGGATTTAAAGCCGTAACAGAGAGAGAATGTTCGGTGAATTTTATCAAGCAGAAAGACGTTATAGTCCTTCTTTCTACGGGATTTGGGAAAAGCTTAATATACCGGTTAGCCCTGTTAGTAGCACTTACATACATTACGACCAAATAGCAGCGACTGGTTAAATTAAAAAAGTACCCACCTACCATCGAGCAAACAAATCCTAAAGCTGCGAGGTCAGACTCTTTCTATGCAATGAAACCGGCTGATGAATCAGGCTAGCAAGCCCCATGAATATATGTTAATGCATGTTTCAACATTTCTAAAAAATAATAACATTTATCTGACTTATAAAATCTTTTGTTGCATGACTGTGTAAATAATAACATATTTGAATTCCTCTTCTGTTTCCATTTTTATTCTCTAGTCTATTCAAAAAGACAAATGCGATGCACCAAGGACAAAATGGGACTGACACATGGGCACACAGAGACTGGGTCAGAATTTCATTATTGGATAAAAACAATATCTGGGAAACCCCTATGATATCATCAGTACCGATTTTCTCTTTTAATCTAGTGACTAGAAGGATGGAGTAATATTTTGGAGTATTTTCAGTCTGACCTTAGAGACAAAGAAACCATGGTTATAATGTACCAGATTCTGTTGTCCTTCATCAACCTGGGAACTAAGAGTCTCAGTCTTAAACTTCAGCCAAAATGTTTTATCTTGATAAGCCCCAAAAATATTATAGATACATTATTGCCCAACCCTCATCTGAAGGGAGGAGCTCTTTTGGAGGTCTTCTCTCTTTTAACTTTTTGTTTCTGTTGAGTAATAGAATAAAAAGAGAAAGTCTGGAAAGCAGTCAGCCAAACAGCCTAATTCTTATCTCCAGGGAGCTGTATCCAGTTGTGGGATGAAATATATAGGCCATGACGAGGCAAGAGAAGGAACGGACCAGAGAATCAGTGAGAGCTGCCTGAAACGTGACTGGCAGCTGCTGGGATGAGGGGTGGGGCCTGTGGGTACTAGTGACCGCTCAGCCGGAGGTGGGGGTGAGACGAGCCAGGTCAGGGTGGGGGGAGGGAGGCTATTACGTAACATGTAGCAGCGTTGCAAACATATGTCAGTGATGATGCATGGAAACCCCAGAAGAATTATAAAAGGCGGTGATGAGGTAGAACAGGGACAATGCGGCTATTTTCTGTCATTTTGTACAATTTGTTATGCTTCTTTTGCTATAAAGATGCACTATGTAACCTTTCTGGTGGAGCATATGCCTCCTTCTACTTTTCATGAAGATGCCTTTGCCTAGAATCCTACACAGTTTTGCTTTAACAATTTTAATTTCTTCTTTATTCAATTATTAAGGTGTTTTTAAAATCAGAAATAGAAACATGTATTCTTAGTGTGAGTGGGGTTGCCTCTCCACATATCTGAGCTGTAACTTGTCCTGATTGTGTCACATGCTTGTCTCCATGAAACTAGAGGAGGTTAATGCTATACTGTGGGACATTTCAAACAAATACATAACATTTCCATGGAGACAAACAGATGGTGTACTCTCCAATGCACCTTGAACCGAACTGAAAATGTGTAGCTTGATTGGAGTGAAAAAGAGTGCCCCATGTTAACATTAGTCAGACTAAGTCATGGTAGCTCCTCTTTAAATTAAACTCTGTATTGTGCTGTTGTCAGCTCTGGGACTTTTCTTGAATATAATGTGTGTACACTCTCCACTGTTCCCCTTGTTTGGAGGCGTTTTTCCTGCTAGTCAACAAAAACAAAACACAAAAATCTGTCAAAGGCTGAAAACAACGCTGCACGAAGCATGAGCCCCACAAACAATAGACACACAATAGAGAGAATCTTATCTCCGCACGCCACCACCCTCAGGACAATATAAAAGAACCGAAAAGACAGAGACCGCCTCCCAGATGCCTCTCCAACATGGCTTTTTCATAGTCTGTGAGCACCCCAAAGGCAGAGATGAAGCCACTGAGCATGACTGAGTTAATTGAACCATGTTGTCCCATCAAGCTGTCCCCTTTCCAGTTGAAACCACGACAAGCCTGTGTCTGCTCTAGAGGTTTCCAGTGATTCAGCTTGTGGCATTATAGTACAAGCACATAAAGGCTGATCAGATGTTGTCTCTTCTTCTTCTGCGCAGTTTGGCTCTTCACCCAGAGCGCGTCCTGGTGGCCACGGGACAGGTGGGCAAGGAGCCGTACATCTGTGTGTGGGATTCCTACACTGTGCAGACTGTGTCCATTCTGAAAGACGTGCACACGCATGGGATCGCCTGCCTCGCCTTTGACTTGGAGGGACAGGTAAATGACCAGAAAAGATAATCCCAAAAATATTGTGGCACATACAATAAAGTGTGCAGTGACTGTGTGATCATATACAATCCATAACAAAAAATAAAATACTAAACACTGACCAGTTTAGCTTTATTCATGGATGATTCCAATACCAATTTAGAAACTAGAGCAAACATCAGCTCTTTTGATACTTTTGGCCCGATTTTGAAAAAGTCTATATAATTTGAAATAGCAACAAACATATTTGCAACATATTTGCAAGCCTATTTCACTGCTATCTAAGAGAGCTGAACAAAAAACAAAGGTGGAAAATTGAATAAATTAAGTAATGTTTAATTAACAGGAATGTAAAAGATAAATTAACAAAGCTAAAATAAAAATAGAATATAGACAATAACTTAAACTAAGAAACAAAATAACAGGATTAACATATGAGTTTTGTGCCAAAAAACGGGTCACACAGGTCTATAAAAAAAAAAGAGTGATTAAACTAAGGGACACACCACAAAACTAAATCACAAGTAAAACCACATAAACTCACAAACAGAATAGAGTGACAAAATTAAAAATTCACAAAACAGAACTAATCTAAAGTGTCTCAACGCAAAGTCAGACATGTACTAGTAGAAAACGAGTGATTGACACCAAAGAGACACACTGAAACACACAAAATGGCATACTGGCCACAAAGGCCAGCAGCCCCGAAGCGGTGTGGAGAAGCTACTTAAATAGGACGAGGAGGCTGGATGTGAGGCAGGATTGGCCAGGTGTAGAAATGCCTCACCAATCAGGGACCAGGGCTCTCACAGCAGAAATCCACAGTGACAAGAAAGAAATTAAAACACACACAAAACAAGTCAACAAACTGGAGGCCTAACCCTGCCGTAACACAGACACGTTTTGTGTGGTGCTCTCTTCGCACTTCAGATATTGTAGCCTATATTAGATTAATTTGCAAAAACTGGATAAGAATATGTAAGACTGAATGTCAGTCTTCCATGTACTGTAAATTTGACATAAAAAATCCAATCCACTCCTCTTTATTTATATAGCACATTTTAAAAACTTTCCAAAGTGCTGCACAAAAAAACGAAAAAAAGAAGAAAATGCTTAATCTCACTGGTTCTAAAAGAATAAAACCAGAAAAATCTAAAGTGAGCAAACAATAAAATGTCAATAAATAAATAACATCAATAAAATTAGTTAAAATAAATAAAAGACAGAGGACCACACAACTCATGGCTATTTTAAGAAAGCAACTTGAAAATGTTTTATGGCCAGATTAATGAACAACCCTAATAAAGTTTTTCCAGGCCCCACAGAGTGATGTTTGTAGCTTTTAGTCCTGACTGACATGTGATTACTCCTGCAGCGTTGCACCCACAGCTGGCATTAGCAGGAGGCCTTCACTGTTTATTACTATTGCCTCAGTGCCTCTGACAACACCTGGTGTAGCACAGAAAATCATTACAAAGCATCCAGACTGGGCATCCACTCCAGTTAAGACACATAGGAGGTGTAAAGTGGCGTGCTATTTACTATACCGACTTATACTGTCTGCCCAAGTAGCTCCCCGCAGACTCCCCATCTCAATGTTTACGCTCTACATCTCCAACTTAATGTAGTTTAGTCTATAAAAATCAATATGTGCTCTGGCACATCTCGGTTTTATGTTTGTGCCGCTCTCCGGTCTCCCACTGGAGTTCTGAGAGGAGTCTTATAACTGGTGCATTTTGCCGGCACAGACAGAAGATGACCCCATGTGCTGGACTGGTGAGGCCTGGGGAGCTAGATGAAAAGTGACAGTGTTAAAAGCAGAAGGGCACCATTTCTCAGTTTAGCTCTGTCCACCGGAAAAAGTCACAGCCAGATGCAATTATTTTATTAAACAACTTTATTTTGAATGTAGACACTCAAATTAGCATTGATTTTGCTTAAAATCACATTATGCAAGGCAGTTTTAAAACCATCTTATGTCTTAATAGTCCTCAACAGTGTCTGAATAATAATAATCAGACATGTGTGAATGAAACAAAAACAGAGACAGAATTTTAACATGGCTTAAAGCTCTCAAGAATCCATTTTGTGTAATATAAAATCTTTTAAGTTATCTATAAAAATTTTACACAACTAATCCAACATGAAAAACGACCCCATTTATAACATTTACATTCACAGTCAGAGCTCTCTCATTCTTCTGCTCCACTGCTGCTGTTGCCTCCTCACTCCTCCAGCTAAAGCACTAAAATCTGCTCAGTGAAAGTGCCAGGGGCTGGACAACTGCTCTGTATATCAAATCTCTTATTAGGCCTTTTCATTATGATCTCCCTCGTGCTCTGAACAAGGTATAGCTCCTGCGAGATCAGTGCAGGGGAGCGGCAACAGTTCAGTCTGGTTATGTCTTTTATAATACTAATGGTTGCTCTCTTCGCAGTGCTTGGTGTCTGTGGGCCTGGACTCAAAAAACACAATCTGCGTGTGGGACTGGAGAAGAGGGAGGGTCCTGGCAGCCGCCCCTGGTCACACAGACAGGGTAAAGCATCTCCTTCCCTTCGCTGACGCCTTCACAAGCTTACGATCGACCAGTTGAATTAGCTGTAAATGCAGGAACCGCGCTCGGGCCCAGGGGGACGTAAGCGAGTTAGGCCTGATTGATCGCAAGCCGCCCTGAGCCAGTCTGAGAGGGTGCACGTAGCTAATGAAACAGTTTTTCTAAAAGGGTGAAATATGTGTCGTGGATGGTGGTTCAGCCCACACTTTACAGCACAGACGGTGCAAATAGTTCTGGTCTTCCACAGTGTTCGTTTGGCTCTGGATCAAAAACACACAGAAGCACAGAGAGAGTCAGACCTCTGCCAAGGCATTACATGTACCTATTAGGGATGTAACAATATCCAAATCTCTCAGTACGATATTATCACGATATACATCTCACGGTACAATATTTATTGCAATATTTTGGAGAGGCTGCTATAATTGTAGATAGGACGCTTTTTTGCTTTTAAAATACCCTGACAAGATTTTGGTGTGAATTATTACTGTCATAATCCCAAGAATTCAAATAAAAAACATATTACTTCATGTTGTCTGCACTGAAATGAATCATGGAATATATAGTTCCCGATGTTTATAGGTATTGTTACTATAAAACCATGCATTGAAGCAAAGGATTTTGCAATTCGATATATTGCAATGCCCCACAATATTATTGTACATATACAATATCACAATATTTTGGTTATTGTTACATCCCTAGTATCTATGTGTGTATAGTTTGGCTCTATAAATTGCAAATGCAACAAAGAATGTAGATTTTCTTCCATTACAAATACAGCATGGTGCTAGCCTGGGTGTTATGTTCCAGATTGGCCACAAATATAATTTAAACTTGGCCAAATGTTTTTATTTACAATAATGTTTTTGTAGAAACAGACTAAACCAACTACACAACAAACAATCTAAATAAATAAATAAATGCAACTAATACAGATAAATTTTTCTGGAAAACATTGCAAGTGTAATTTCAGGAAAATGAATGGGGAAGGGCTCATCTCCATGGAAATTCTGCCTTGAATGTTTCACATTATGGCATTAGACTTATTGCTACAAATAACTTGAATACATGCGTTAGTGCTGTAAACTTGGTCACAGTCATGGGTCGGTTTACCTTTGTATTACCATTGAGACAGAAAAGTATGAAGTCACGTTACGCAACGTTCAAGGTAAAGCAATAGCGTTTTCATGGAGACGAGAGGGTGCGTCTTTTAAGATCCTTCATCTGGCTATCCAAATACATAAACCTGAGGCCTACTATAATGCTTTCTTTCTCTTGCTCCCTAGATATTTGACATATCGTGGGATTTGTACCAGCCAAGCAAACTGGTGAGCTGTGGTGTCAAACATATAAAGGTAAGTGTATTTCCTTATCACTCATCATAAACTTGAAAAAGCACTGTAGTGAACTTCCTGTAGAAACTCAAATGTGAGGTTAATTGTTTGTGAATTCACTTGCTCTTCTTATCCAGTTTTTATCACCTATCAGCCCTCAAGTAAAGTTATGCTAATTCTACTTTTCTACAGTGCATGCTTATAACTCATTTAACATACATAAATAGAACATGCAGTGACTCATATTCAAATGGGTTAGTGCTTATTTCCATTCTGTTTGGGAGTTACTGTGCTGGATCTTACAACTAATCTTTTACTCAAAATGATCTACTTTGACTTTTTGCTGTATTCCAAACTTTTGTGCCACAGCTCCATTTTCCAAGCACGGAGGATGACAACATGATTATTCTTTATTGCATTTCTGGAAGCATTTTTTCCAACATTACTGCATTTTATTGTGTTTTGACATTAGTTTTATAGGGTGGAATGGTTAACAAAAAGGCAGTTGTTGGTGGTGTTGTAGTTGGCTAATTATTTTATTTAGATTATAAGAGTCTGAATGGGACAACAGCAGGAGTTAGTGAGTTATCTTAAGATTTAGTATTTTTGGTATTAATGTAAAAAATGCAGATTTGTTTTAATACATTCTTTCCAAGTATTTTTCTGCATAAATAGTTGTTTTTGCTTGTGGAGTTGTGTTTTGTAAATGTCATTTGGGTCAGAACATAGAGATGCATGTAGTTTTTAGTCCATTTTTAGTTGATTTAGCCTACAGTCCTAGTCTACTTTAAGTGCACAAATAGGTAGAAAAAGGCAATATGCAAAATGTCTATATAACCAAAATCTCTTCACATTTGCATGACCATAAGTACTGTAGATTTGGTAGTGTCCAGAACATACATTTTTCTGTAACTTCACATTTTCTTATTTCGGGTCATCCAGTTTCCTCTCTATATCCTGGACACGCAACCTACAGATTCTTTACCTTTTAACTTCTGCCTCTTCTTTCTTGAGACCTAAGCCATTGTCCCATATAAATCCCCCCGTGCAGCATTGCCCCTGTAGACCATGTGACATCTGCTCCCCAGCCCAGTGTGCGCTCAGCGATTATAGCACTGAGAGCATGGTGCAGATTTAGCCCCCGTAATCCACTCACTGTAGCAGGCTGAGGCAAACACAAGCTCTGACTGAGACAAGGCCCAGAGCACTGCCTCACATGCAGAGCCCTCTACTGTTACGCACAGGGCACTTTGATCACGATGACTCCATGTGCTCTGTTAGACCTATAGCAAGCAGCTGTATAGTGTGTTAGACCAGAACTGTTACATCAGATATCATAATGTTGTTGCAGTTTTGGTATATAATATTGGTCATACATTTCAAATAGTGCCTAGTAGTGTGACGATATGAAATGCGAATACACTCAGTACTCGACATTGATTCCGATACCACAAAGATGATAAAAAAAAATCCCACTTTATTTAGAGAATAAATGTGTTTTTCAACAGTAAAGCGTACTTTCTTTAGTATTACCATGTGTCCTTATATCTGTGTAATCCCTTAGTTGTTAAATTATGTAGTGGTCAATGTGCATATCTATGTGGTTTTATACTTGCTCTAATACAGCTCAAAATTATTCTCAAGCTATTCAGGAAAGGTTCATTTCTGTCCTAAAATGTGACTGTTTTAGTACCGATACCTGCTCAAATGAGTATCAAGTTTCGATACCCTAGTTTCGATATTTGGGTCTGGGGGCCGTATCCAACCTACTTTGATCCCAAAGGGGCCGGATCAGAAACCTCATGTCATATATACCCCAAAAATAACAATAAGTTAAAATATTTGTGCAGAGAAACGCAAATCTATTACAGAAATCTTTTTTAATTGATGAACTCTTTCTTATTATAATATTATAATATTATGAACAACCTGAAACTTTAAGAAAAATTCAATTTCAACACAATGTTTTAACATTAACTTGTATGCAAACAGGAATAAGTACATTTTTCTTGGAAAATCCTGCACTCTGTGTCTACTTTTCTCATTTTGGACATTTTGCTGATGAGGGTGTCACGGTCAACAGTCAAAATGATCGTCCTTTAAGAGCGTTTTGAAAGAGACAAGTCTTCATTTGTGCTGCTATGGTGGGAGGGGCCACGTACAGAGACGCTGGAGACGCTGATATGCTAAGCACCGCAGAAAATTACCAATATTTTAATAGAAAATATAATTAAAATATTTTAGTAGAAAATCACCCAAGGGCCACATTAAAGGTCTTGGAGGGCCGGATCTTTCCTCCGAGCCTTATGTTTGACACCTGTGCCCTAGTGCCTAGCAAATGTATAATGTGTATTGTGAAATCATTAGAGCTGTGCATGTGGTTTGTGAAGGTTTGTGTGTTGTTGTTTTTTTTGTTTTAATACCAATGATCTGTATTGTTTTTGATCAAGAAATTAACACTGAAGGCTATTTAAGATTGTTTTCAATACGTCAGATTACAATTATATCAAAATTAAGAACATTAAATTCATATAAAGACAGAATAGCTGCAAAATGTGTCCATCATGTCCAATATGATTTTCTTCAGTCACTCTATATACTGTATGTACTCTATCTGCAAATGCACATTTCCTTCCACTTGTTCTTGAGTTAATTAACCACATAATCAGTTTGATACAGAGTACAGAATAGTGTTGTGGAGCAAGTGCTCAAGTGTCCACTGTCATTAATGTACTAATCTTGTGCTAATTAATTTAATCTCATACATCTATTAAGGCTGTGACTCAAATTAAGAGCTCGCCTAGGACAATATATGAATGTTGTTTTTTTACATGTCATTGTTGTCATAATACTAACATTTTTTATTTCAATATTAAGGAATAGAATTGATACTCAGTACAGATTCTGATACCACAATAGGGATATAACGATATCCAAATCTTTCAGTACAATATTATCACGATATGCATCTCACGGTACGATATTTATTGCAATATTTTGGAGAGGCTAATATTAATGTAGATAGGACACGTTTCTGCTTTTAAAATACCTTGACAAGAGTTTGGTGTGAATTATTTCTGTCATAATTCCAAGAATTCAAGTAAAAACATATCTCTTCATGTTGTTTGCACTAAAATGAATCATGGGATATATAGTTCTTGATGTTTATAAGCTGTTGCTGCAGTAAAAGCAAAGAACCTTGTGATTCGATATATTGTGACAGCCCACGATATTATTGTGAGACTTTTGATGATACAATGTCACGATATTTTGGTTATATAGTAATGAAATAATGATAATAATAAATAACACTTTATTTAGACATCAGTATGTAACAATATGTATTTTGGCCTTATAGTATCTGTGTAATCCCTCAATCATCCAGGTATGTTCCATAGTGGTCTATAGGCGTATACAAGTCTATGTGGTTTTATACTTGTTGTGATACAGCTCTAGATCATCCTAAAGATATTCAAAACAGGTTCATTTGTGTCCTGTCAATTACTTTTTAGTGTCAATACCTGCTTAAATATCTTGTTTCAATACTAATTTTAGTTTAAATTAGTATCTGTTTTTCGATACTTTTGTCAACCCTACTAGTCATACTGGTAGTCTTGTGCTTTTATTACTCTTGAAATAAGCTTAAACATGTAGACAATCAGTTGTTCAGTTAATGCCATGACAGGGCTAGTGGGGACATGACCCTTTGTAAGTGCTGCACTTAGCTCTAGCCTCCGCGTTTAGGGTCCGTGCAGAGTGACAGGAGAATGGTATATGGTTTAGAGCGGAGCGAGTGAGGCTTGGGGCTGTAGAGCATCCGCCAGTGACTTGAGCTGTGTGAATTAATTAAGATTTAAAGTGGTTTCATTCTGAGTGAGGTAACTTAGCTAATGACATCCCGCTAATCCTAACAGAGCCTTGTTCCCAGCGCTGTCCCGCGAGTGTAGTGCTGAATGTGCAGATAGGACTTGCGGTTACACTGTATGCCACAGCTTCTTCTTCTCAGTTCTTTTTCTGCCCTGTTGCCTTTCTCTCCTGTTCTTATCGTTAAACCCTCTCACATTCACTCTTCTCTTAGTAATTCAGCAGCCCCAGGATTACCCAAGGTGCTCGTTTCTCGCAGCCTTATCAGTTGCAGGCAGGGAGAGCTGTGTAGTATCCATACATGATTTGGCCCCGACAGGCTGGTCCATAAAGACATCAGACGATTCTATGGAATGGAGACAGTTGGTTTAATGCCACTATCTCTTTATGTTGTTATGATCTCGAGGTAAAATTTATATATTGTTTACTTGTAGTTTTACTTTTTGCTCAGTGTTGACATGTTGCATTGGAAATACGCTAGTAAATTAATTCTCAATCTGCCCTATTTCGAGTAGAAACCATACAGTGCCGGGGTTCACAACATTGGAAACTGGATGGAGTTTAACATTGTGGTGATTTGCATTTAAATTGTGCCATGAGCAATCACTGTAACCTTTCCTCCCCACACACCGGGGCTTGTCCTTCCATGGTGTGCAATGAATATCATATCTAACACTGGCTACTGCAAGAACTATTTATCTTCCAGCAATTCGTATCAGTACATATTTTCCCAAAAACCCATACTGACATTGTGTCAACAGTCTATAAACTCTCAATGATGAATGTGACTACAACAGTAAGGACATCTGGGCATCTAAAAAGCTAAATTGCCATGATTAGTTTTCTGGCAAAAAGGGAACAGCATAATGAAAGCAAAACAAAACAGAAATGTCTTGGCCGTTGCTTTAAACAAATTTTAGTTCTCATAATGCCCAAAGTGCCTTTCAAGATACTCTTTACTTACTTTTCTTTAGAATACATTATTCAGTCAAGCCATGTCTGTAGCCACAGCTGCCCTGGGGTTGGTTTACAGAAATGAGCATGCAGTATTGATGGGAAAATGCTTTAACTACTCAGAATAACAAATGCATATAAATGGGTTTAAGATGTCCCTAATTGTACTAAGAAGCATAATTAATAAAACCAAATTTGTACTGTATAAAGTATAGCAGTGACTCTTTCAGCTAAAAAACTTAAAGATTATATCAAATAGTTCTTGAAATCCCCACGGGGCACATGTATGCAGGCCCGTTGACAGTGCGTCTGAGCCCTTGATCCCTGTCTGTGATAATCGATCCGCTCTGTTAACAGAGCCCTATCAAACGCTCAGGTAAGTGTTACTGAGGCGTGCCTGGCTGCCACTCTCCACCAGCTTATTTAATAGTTCCCTCACTGTCACCTCACTGCTATCGCCAAGTACCCATCTGATGCCTCTGGTTCCTTTTAAGCTTGTTAGCAGTCCTTGAACCCGGCAAAAAAAAGTTCACATTTTATTCAGCCTGCTAAAAGCATTCATTTTTCTTCCTCGGGTGAAAACTTTGAATCATTTTTTTGGTGCTAGAGCAGTGCTGTTTTCTGCGATCTCATCTCCATGCAGACAAGGCGTCTCTCTCAGGCCGTTTGATGGATTTCACCCAGACGAGCCCGTGCCTGTGCATCCCAATGACCTTGTCCATAAATAATGAGTGTGTGCGTATCTGTGTGGGCGCATGCTTATCAGGTGGTTACTAGGCTGACCCCCATCATCTTCCCCAAACACATAGAGGGAAAGCGGCAATTTGTCCTTCGCTGAGGTTATACTCAATCCCAACAGATCTGTCAAACAATGAAAGATATGTTCTGTTAGACTTAATTAATTCACACAGTGATTTAATGTGATGAAGGGGTGTTATGCAGAATTGAGCTTTCTACCATGTTCTACCATCTATGCATGTCTGAGTAATTTAGCAATCTCTCCCAGGCCCTATTTGAATCCTCCTTATGGTTAGCAATATGATCCTATCCATTGCCCAGCCAACAAGCCTACGTCACCCATGCTCCTGCATGGTATTTTTTCCATAGATTTACAAAAACAAAACAGTACAAATTCACAAACCAGATATGGGATGCACGCTGATTGGGATGTGATAGGGCTCTGAAGGAGGAGTGATTTAGCTTGGGGAGCAAAGGAGGAGAAATTAAACTTATTAAACCTTTTTATATGTTGTTTTCTGCAAATATATCATTTCATCAAAGCGATTAAAGGTAACATGGTGATCTAAATATGTAATATGTTAGCAGTTAATATAATACCGCCTCTTTAACCAGTGACATATAAATTTTTACATTGCTTTCTCTCTCTGCTGGGTTTAATTTCATCATGTTTTGATGGAAGGTGCGTCGCAGTCAAACAGCGAAAATGTGCAGCAACTCCAAAATGGTTGACAAATACTGGACTACATAATTGTGTTTTTTTTGGACAATAGGATTATGCGGGGGGATTATTAGCTGACATGCCTGTGAACTCGCCTCTGTTTGTGTTTCCAGTTTTGGAGCTTATGCGGTAATGCGCTCACGCCCAAACGCGGCGTCTTTGGCAAAACGGGAGACCTGCAGACCATCCTGTGTCTGGCCTGCGCGAAGGACGAGATCACATACTCCGGTGCCTTGAATGGGGACATCTACGTGTGGAAAGGGATCAATCTGATGAGGACAGTACAGGGGGCACACGGGGTAAGTAGTTTGCTGTGGTAGATTTCACTGACCCAAAGTGGATGCTACTTTTATGCCCAAATTGTAGCCCTGCCTATCCAGAGTCCAGACAGGCTTCGTTTGATTCCACTGTGGTGTAGAAAAGGATCAGCCTTTTGCTACACAGGATTAAATGATATCTATGAGATCAACAGCTGGGTGGAGGGCCGGATTGGGGGAGGGGAGAGTATGGGCAGTGCATTCTTATGTCTGCTTTTTACATTTTTCTGTATTTCCATAACAAATAAAAATAAAAATACACAAATGCTGAAAGTGATAATTTAGTTTAGGGACATTGAATTGCTAAATGTTACAACTGGCTTCATATTAGCAATACTATTTTCCACTATTTACACATTTTACTTACTGTTTTTGCCCCCATCTCCATTAAATCTTACAGGCCTATTTGTGTGTTGTGACATTATCTGAGGCCCAGAGATAACACAATATAACTTCATTTCCCTAACTAAACTGAAGCATCGCCCGCAGCATGTGTGTAAATGTGAAAGCCCCTGTTAGCTGAGCGGCTGGCTGCGTACAAGTCATGTGCTGTGTAGCTCTGGCTGGTTATGTGCTTGCTGCTCATTTATAGCACAGATCTTTAGTGACAGTTTGTCATTTCCTCCAGTCAGGGATTTTCAGCATGAATGCCTGTGAAGAGGGCTTTGCCACTGGGGGCAGAGATGGATGTGTCCGGCTATGGGATCTCAACTTCAAACCAATTACTGTCATTGATCTCAGGGAAACTGACCAAGGGTATAAAGGTAATTTACAAACAACTACTTTCTCATTTTAGATAACAGCTACAGAATTGAAATTCTTTCTTTTCTGCTACCAGGCACACATGCTATTTTTGTAAACATATTTTTTATATTATGTTTGATACAACTGTAGCTTTAGGGAGGTATAGTTCAAATTTTCATTGCCCTACTTCTGCACTTCACCTTGTTAGTAAAGCCAACTATCTTTGCATTTATTCATGAGTTTCAGGCATAAGGATTCCTTCTTGATTTGAAGGATCTGGCATGGCAATAGTCCTCCGCTGTTCCAGCAATAAGTCAGTTCAAATCAAAAAATAAATTCTTCTGAATGTCCTCACTAAATCTTTCAAATCAGGAAGGAATCATTACCTGAAACCCATGATTATTTATATGGCACATCCTGACTTCTACTGAGCCAGCATTTAATTTTCATCACAAACTAACCTTAAAATATTGATCTTGACATGTCTACTAAAAAAAACAAAAAAAAAAACTTGAGTGCGTGCTTATATTAATTTATTGCATGTTTCTGTACATTCTTAGGGCTGTCCGTGCGCAGCGTGTGTTGGCGAGGGGACCACATTCTCGTCGGCACCCAGGACAGTGAGATCTTCGAGATAGTGGTCCATGATCGCAACAAGCCCTTTCTCATCATGCAGGGTCACTGTGAGGGCGAGCTGTGGGCGTTGGCTGTGCACCCCACCAAACCCTTAGCAATGACAGGGAGTGATGATCGCTCTGTCAGGTAACACTGGGGGAGTTATGTAATGTTGTTTCGTGGTTGTTATATAGTTTATGTGTTGTTATTGCGGCTCTTGGCCAGGACTCCCTTGTAATTTTAATGTCTAAGGGATTTTTCTGGCTGCTTAAAAGTTCAGTGAAAAAGTTTGTTGGCAATATATACAAAAACAATCTGACATTTACAGAAAAATACAGAAATGGCAACCAATTTTAAAGGATTCTCTATGATCAACCTATGAAGGATCAAATGCAGAGGACAAACAATAAAGTGTACCTTAACCTTATGATTATAAGATACATTTTCATGGGGAAAACTAATTATTGTTATTAAAAGCAAATAATTTATAGGGATCCAGGATGGAACTGTGCTGCACTGATATAATTCCAAGATAATGTAACCTTTATTTGGGGACATTTCAGTGTTGCATTGCAAAATTCAATACTAGCAGAATAATTCATATTTCAAAGTAACCGATTAACTACAATATCAAAATATACCTACTAAACTACTACTTACTACCACACTAAAATACAGATAAGATACATGACAAGTGAATAAAAATAATACAATAAATACAACACTGTGCAAGTAAGGCTACAAAATTATGTTGTATTCTGTATTATTACGTGGTGATCCTTGATGCTAAAAGTACGCAGGCTGGTGTGTGTGTGTGTTATTGGTCAAGGCCTATTTTTACCTCTTTGTGTAAACAGAATATGGAGCCTGATTGACCACGCACTAATAGCCCGCTGCAACATGGAGGAGCCCATCCGCTGCGCAGCTGTGAGCACTGACGGCATCCATTTGGCTCTGGGAATGAAAGATGGCTCCTTCACCGTCCTCCGAGTCAGGTGGGTGCACAAAGGCCAAATGAGAAATTCTGACTCCGCGTGAATGACGGACAGTGACAAAGAGCTCAATTATTCCCTCAGTTTTGCCACCGCTACTTTTAACTGAAGCCAAATGTGTCTTTTTCCCCACAGAGACATGACAGAAGTGGTCCACATCAAGGACAGGAAAGAGGCGATTCACGAGCTTAAATACTCCCCCGATGGGACGCATTTGGCGGTGGGATCCAATGATAACTCTGTGGACATCTACGGCGTGGTGCAGAGATATAAAAAAGTGGGCGAGTGTATTGGCTCCAACAGCTTTATTACGCATATGGACTGGTCGACGGACAGCAAGTACTTACAGACCAATGACGGCAGTGGGAGGAGACTTTTCTACAGGATGCCAAGTAAAAAGCTAAATTTTTAAGCCTGTCACGATAAATACTATATTGACTTATCGTTCAATATTTGAAAGATGGAACCACAGTTTTGGAGGGGTGGTTCAATATTTATTGGGAGTACTTTTTCTATGTACAATAAAGGAATTTTTTGTTACTTTTATGTACTACAATATGATTTGAGGAATAGGGAGTTGAATAAACAACTTCTATTACTCACTATGCTGATGCAAAGTGAGTATGAAAGCAGCTTATTCACCTATGTATTTATAGCACGTAATCTAATCCAATCCAACTTTATTTGTATAGCACATTTTATAAACAACACAGATTCCAAAGTGCTTCACATAGCAATGTAAAACATTTTACTTAAAAACAAAACAAAACTAAACTGCAAAATTATGTTCCAACCATGAGGAAACTAATAGAATCAATAAATTAAATAATAATAATAATAAAATCAGTGAACAAAAATAATAAACTCAATACATAAATGTCATGTTTTAAGGTTTTATTATTTATTATTAATCTTTAATAAGAACACAGAAAGCAAAACACATGTGGTCCATAGTTAAAAAATACGCAATATTAGATTTATATATAGCATATTATTAAAAAGAAACAATATTACATACAAATATATCCTTGTTTTTATGTTAGTTACATATTTTTTTCCCCATATATTGTATTTAAGAATTTGTTATCGCGACAGGCCTAGCTAAATTCAAATAATTTCTTGTTAGAGGACAGAAATTCTGAGTAAAATTTGTATCTTTTGTTGAGGTGGCAAGGAGGTGAGCAACAGAGAGGAGCTGAAGCTGGTGCAGTGGGCGTCATGGACGTGTGTGCTAGGGCCTGAAGTCAACGGAATATGGCCCAAGTATTGTGACATAAATGACATTAACTCCGTAGATGCCAACTTTAGCAATCAAGTCTTAGTCACGGCGGACGATTATGGACTGGTCAAACTTTTAAGATATCCATGTATCAAAAAAGGTAAATGCAGCAGTTTTCCCAAGTCTTAAACGTGCACTTTGTAACTTTTTGAAGGGTCCGTCACCTGCTTGTTTCTACAGATATGTTTGACAGTATGACATCAAATAGCCCTACCTTACATTTATTGAATTACTTAGCCAAAAAATACATCTTGTAACTTGTAACTTGTTCTGATTTTGTCTGCATGATAGAAAGATTTAATTCTATACTGTAAAACTTTCCAGACAACACAATAACATGTCCATGGAGAAAAGAATGTGACGGACCTTCCACCAGAAGGCACAGAATGGACCTTCAACCATAAATGATGTTACTAATTTATGTTTTTGCTCATTCAGGTGCAAAATGTAAAAAATATTTAGGTCATTCAGCGCACATAACCAATGCAAGATGGTCACATGATTACCAGTGGGTCATAACGATTGGAGGTGCGGACCATTCTGTGTTTCAATGGAAGTTTATTCCTGAAAGAAAGACAAAAGAGGCTCTACATATAGCACCTCAAGGTATTATTTGAACCATTTACATAACACCCAAACATTACATTTTTACATTTTTGGTTACGTGATTGCAGTGTATTTACATTAAAATAACACAACATCAGAGACATTTTCCTTCTTTCTTACTATCATTCTGTTCTTTTTCTGCAAAAGACTGCTAAGGAGCCACCATCACATTAATTAAACCAAATCCAATAAAAATGTATGAAGCTTTGGAGTCGTAATTGCATTGTCATCCTTAAGTCATATTTTTCACTGGGACTGAGTGCAGCTGTGCTTTGTGAAATGAAAGCCTGCTCTAACTGCCTTCCCTTTTCATTTTCCTAATGGAGGTTGTGAGGAGTTGCCCTTGGCTGCCAGCTCTGCTCATTGCCTCTCCTTGGCACAGCCTCCTTTTGCTGGTTCAGCATTTCTATACATTTGTTTTGAGCAGTGTCACTAGAGGTACAGCTGGTGGATAAATCCGAGGTGTCAGATGATAATTACACGACTCCCCATATCCTCTGTAAACATGAGATACTATGACAGTATTATTCTTCTGAGGTGTGTGGTGCTTATGGAGTGAGGTGTGGTACCAATAATGTGTGGTGTGTGTGCTTTTGCTTTTGCAGAGACCTTGGCCGACTCCAATAGCGAGGAGTCAGATTCAGACCAGTCCGATGTTCCAGAAATGGACTCCGAAATTGAACAGGAAACCCAACTCACTTACCGGAGACAGGTTTGTATAATACAGCTGGATGTAAAAAAATGGCAAAATTAGGTCTGTTATGAAAGATGTTTACTCTTGACTTTTCTTATTAGCAGAGCTGGTTTATTATGCAGGAGACAGTGGAATTAATAAACAGTAACACTTCAAATGAATCGAGATAGGGAACAGCTAGGCCTATAGAGAGAGGCTATAAAATGTAATTGAAAAAAGTAAACACAAAAGTAAGAAGAAAAAAATCTAATTTGAACAAAGCTAAACTAAATTGGATAAGGTCTATACAAATGTCAAAGGGAAGAATATTGTAAATGTCCAAACATCACTCAGCCTTACTGCACATGGTTCATTATGATCAGCTACATAGCCTAATGCACACTGGGTTTTTAACTTTGCTGGAATAACATGTCACACAAATACAGTGTACAGTTTGCACATAAAGAAGTACCCATTTTCTCCACACAGGTTTATAAAGAAGATCTACCTCAGCTCAAAGAGCAATCCAAAGAGAAGCAACGAGCGCTGCCAATGAAAAAGCGAGAGAGGGCACCGGGCAGTGGAGTGAAGCTACACTTTATTCATGGGTAGGCTCACTTTGCAGCCGCACAAAGGTGGCTATTAATAATCAGTAATAGGATGAGTAATAAAAGCTTATTGAATTGCGGTCTACCTTTTGTAACAAGTGTTTGTCCTTGCATTTGCAGTTACAGAGGCTATGATTGTCGGAGTAACCTGTTTTACACCCAGACTGGAGAGATAGTTTACCACGTAGCGGCTGTCGGGGTAGTATACAATCGCCAGCAGAACACCCAGCGCTTTTACATGGGCCACAATGATGACATCCTCTGCCTGGCCATCCATCCTCTCAAAGACTTTGTAGCTACAGGACAGGTAGAATGAACACTGCAGATTAATTTCTCTTTTGTTCCATTACACATGCTTAAACAAAAGTGCATTATATTTGTTCAGGTTGGTAGAGATTCCTCAATCCATATATGGGACACAGAAACGTTGAAAGCTCTGTCGGTGCTAAAGGGTTTCCACCAGATTGGAGTGTGTGCCTTGGACTTTTCAGGTATAAACCAAATAATATTTTTACTTTCTTTTGACATGGGTTTAGATGTGTATAACTGAGTAAATAGTATATCAATAACAGACCATTTGCTCAACTCCATTCACACATAAATGAAGCAGAAATAGTAGACACTCAATTTACCTCCTGCTGTCAGCAAACTTGCACTAGTCTGACAATATCATGTAGGAGCTGTACGCCTCTTCTCTCTAATTGGGCCTAGACTGGAGAGAAGATATCTGTGTCTGTGATTCACCTTTGCTATGTGCATCAAAACCAACCGGCAGCTTTAATGTTTTTTTTTGTTGACTGAACCAACACAGGAGTTGAATAGATCCTTTTTTTTCTCCCGTAGCGGATGGCAAGAGGCTGGCTTCAGTGGGGCTGGATGACAATCACACTATTGTGCTGTGGGACTGGAGGAAGGGGGAAAAGCTGTCTGCCATGAGGTCGGTATACAAAGATATGCTTTTCAATGCACCTGATATTTATATATAGACTCGTAAGCATTGTAATATTTCATTATATTGTTCCCATGAAGGTTAAAGGACCCGTATTGTGCTATTTTCTGATCTATGTTATGATGTTTCCTCTTCAAAAACATGCCTGGAGTTGTGTTTTGTTTCATTCACACATGTTTAACACACACGCTTTGCATATTTAGGCGGAGTTCTTATCAATTCCACCTTCTGCTGTCATGTGGTCATACAGAAATAGTTCCACTGTGTTTTTAAACTCCATACACCTTCATTAAATAATTTCAGCCCTGGAATCTGTACTGACCTAAAAGTAAAAGGCCACTATTAACTTGAACTTCATGATATCACAAGGTGGAACAGAGCATTTTGAGCTTTGGAGATATATTAAAGGATCACTCAAATGTGTGTGAATGAAACATAGCACTACTCTGAATATGTTTTTGATGAGGTAACAATATTTTAACATGGCTTAAAGGTCACGTGAGACAATTTTGTGTACTATAGGACTACTGGAGTAAAGCCAATTCCCATTAGTTCACAAAGCTGCTGTAAAGAAGCAATCAAAAATAATGAAAGCAATAATGAAAGTACATAAATAATCATTGTTGCTGTTCTTTGCCTGTCTTTGCATGGATGATTTAAGATATTGTTCTGTTTACTAGTCCTTACATAACCCTGAGCTCATGTAGGGCAGAGTGGCTTCACTGCCAGACAATGATGGCAATGAGCTGAGCCTATAGGATGTAAATGATACATGTGAACAGATATGAGGCACACACAGCATGTTGTATATTTTATGCAATGGGATTGTATTTCCTGATCTGCACTATGAATTACTGCATGATGGCTAATTTTACAGTGGGGACATTTTAATAATTTAGATCAGTAGTTCCCAAAGTATTGCTTAGTAATTATATGGAGTAGGACATGTACTCAAGTTTTTTTGTCCTAGTCCGTGTGGGTTGGGTAGCTGGATTTATAGCAGATAGGTTTGTTGATAAGTGTGGGGACCTGATTAAGATTGTAAGTAGGCTGGGTGTTCTTAAAAGGAGAAGTCTTACAATGGGTAGACACATCCATTGTAAAACATAAATGTAAAAATCAACAACGTTGTAGAATAATTACCTCCGCCAAGGAGGTTATGTTTTTGCCGGCGTTTGTCTGTTTGTTTGTTTGTTTGTCTGTTAGCAACATAACTCAAAAAGTTATGGACCGATTTTGATGAAATTTTCAAGATTTGTTGGAAATGTGAAAAGGAAGAACTGATTTCATTTTGGGGGTGATCCGGAAGAAATCCTGCATTCTGGATCACTTTGAAATTTTAGTTAACATTGTGGTAAATGGGGCAAAAAATTTTGTTTCTAAATATCTCGGTTAATTATTGACCAAACCCCATGAAATTTGACTCAGGGATGGACAATCGGATCCTCTTTCATATTCCAAATTGAAAGATACGAGACAAATATTTATGGAAAACACAATTAATATGAGGGGGACTGTAGTCCTTGGCGGAGGTCTGCGCTCTCTGAGTGCTTTTCTAGTTTTAATAGAATTAATTTGATGATTATTGAAAAATGTTGTTCACTTATATATTCTGGGATTTGTGGTTTGTTTTATAGCTTTCCTATTTTCTGTATAAACTTATATTTAAACTTGTAGTTGTGTGTGTTTCAGAGGAAGTAAGGACAAGATATTTGTTGTGAAAATAAATCCCTACCTTCCTGACAAACTCATCACTGCTGGCGTGAAGCATATCAAATTTTGGCATAAAGCCGGTAAGTCCTGAATACATATTGTGTATTTTTTAGCCTCACAGCAGCATCCCTAATGAGCATATCGCAGCCTTTCTTTGACACATGTGGCCCGTATGGACTGGGCCGCTCTCTTTCAGGTGGCGGGTTAATTGGGCGCAAGGGGAACATGGGGAAGACGGAGACAATGATGTGTGCGGTGTACGGCTGGTCGGAAGAGATGGTCTTTTCTGGAACGTGCACAGGAGACATTTGCATTTGGAGAGACATGTTTCTGATGAAGACTGTTAAGGCTCATGACGGCCCTGTTTTCAGTATGCATGCACTGGAAAAGGTACTGAATTATTGTTTGTTTTGTATGCTATCTGGCCCATTTAAAGAGGAACTAAACACTAAATCACTTTTTTCACAATTAAACTGTGTATACAGTGTTTTAATAGCATTATCTGCTGTTCCTTGTCAAACAAACTAGGTCAGTTTGCAACTTTATGGCAAAAGTTTGTGCTCCCTTGAGTGGCCCTTAAAATAGGACTTGGTATCATTAAGAAGTTGCCGATACGATACATACCTTGATACAGTGCACTTTCAGTTCGATGTGATATATATTAAAGATTCAATATGATTCAGTAAAAAATAAAGGCTAAATTATGGCTGTGATACTAAAAGTCTTTGTTAAACCACTTCTTGCGCAAAGTTAATACGAAAACTGCCCATTTTACTCATCAAAACTGAAAATGAAAATGTCAAATGTGTTGCATAAATGAGTTTCCTTCCTATAAAAAACAACAAAACTGTAGTGCTGTAACAAAATAATTTTGTAAAATATACCAAAAAATACTTGCAGAAAGAACAAAAATATGGCTGTTTGCTGCAGGTGTTCCAATCAGTAGGAGCAAGTAGAGGGTGCTCTTGGGAAAAAGGATCAAAACTCAAACACAACAGATTCCAGTCACTCCAAAACAGTAGAAAAAATTAACACATCGCACGAGGAAAAATATAATTAAAAGGCCTTTATTTGAATGGCCAAAGCCAACATGTTTCAACCTTAACTGGTTTTCATCAGGGCTTAATTGACCAAAAAATACTCTTGGCGATATATCGATACAGCAGCCCACGATGTCAATACTGTATCAGCACATTCAACGATACGATATATCGATATTTCAATATTTTTGCACACCCCTAATCTGAAATGTGGTTGTGGGCGGAGTTTTATCCCATTTTAAAGCATATATTCTACTGAAAAGTTAAGGAGGTTACAATTGTGCTACTATGCCTTGTGTATAGGGATTCGTAACGGGTGGGAAGGACGGCGTTGTCGCTTTGTGGGATGACACTTTTGAGAGATGCCTAAAGACGTATGCCATTAAGAGGGCCGTGCTAGCTCCAGGCTCTAAAGGTAAAAAGACTGCACTTTCATCGACTGTCCTAGTATTGATTTATATAACATGTATGGTCATTTGAGCTTGATTTATTGCTTGCTTAATGATCTTTCGGCAGGGTTGCTTTTGGAAGATAACCCATCCATACGTGCCATATCTCTGGGCCATGGACACATCTTGGTGGGAACAAAGAATGGAGAGATTCTGGAGGTGGACAAGAGTGGCCCTATTACACTGCTGGTTCAGGTAAATGATTCTGAAATAAACCAGAAAATATGTTGGAAATGTACATTTGTTTTTGCAACCTACTCACATACTGTAAAACCAGCTTATAGTTCTAGTAAATGTTTTGGATCACTGGCTCAAATGGTGCACAGTGATTTTGCCAACAGATGTGATTATATGACACCATGACTTTTATTGTGTTGTCATGAATCAAACCGGGGGAGGCAATAAATAGTGATGAATTACTGTGCTTAAATGAGATTGCTCATTTAGTTAAGTGGTTCTGCTGTGTCTCACTGCGTCCCCTGAAATTAGGCAGACTGTGCTAGTACAATCAAGTGGCCTTTGGGATACACAGACACATAGTAATGGGCCAGATTTGGCTTGGGCAACATGCAAAAAGACTGTATTTTCTGAATGCAGCTAGACTTTCGTCTCTGGTCCAAATCAAGGTTGCCTGGTATTGAAATGTTGTGATAACATTGCGATACTTTAATATACTTTTAAACAATAATTTTAGTTGTCATAATGGAAACAAAAGTACATCTTTTAATTTACTTGTGAAACTCAAAATAAAAACTTAACTGAGAAAAATACGGGACTGAATCAGGGCAAATTTTTGACTTAATAAGGAAAATAATTTGCTTTTTAAAAATATTCTTCAAAAAAAAACTACAGCACATTTTTGTCAGATGGAGAATCTTGGTATTATTGTGATATATTGAGTATGTTGCAATATCGATTATTGTGTCAGTCAATATGCAGGGTTCCCACAGTCATGGAAATCCTGGGAAAGTCATTGAAATTGAAATTTTCCCAGCCTGGATAAGTCATGGAATTTTAGTGTCTCTTTCACGCAACTACAGCTTTCTATTAAGTTATCATTAGGCTATTATGATTATTTCTGAAGGTCTGTACCTTTGTTTAAAAGAGACGACAATAAATGACAGTATTTTAAATGTTAAAAAAACTATAATACGAAACCGTAAGGTGAGTGGAAAGGGTTAACATTTCATATGTAGCCTAAAGTATGCTAAATCCTGTGCATGTAGGGTGCCGTAAAGTCCTGGAAAATTCACTTTAGGTCATGAAAATGTCATGGAAAAGTTTTGAAACTTTGTCAGTGTGAAAGAATTTATGTGTGAAAAAGAGAGGGAAACCTGAATATGACTGTATCAATACTTTTGCGAAACTTTACTTTTTAATTTATATTTAGTTGTACATATTCATTTATATAATTATGACTTATTTGGCACCAGTCTCTTGCTATGTTTGCTACTTATTTTGAATTTATTATTACCAACTATATATTTACTCTTTGTTATTATAATGTATTGTGATGCTGTGTCCAAAGAGTTTCCCTTGTGGATCAGTAAAGTCTAAGTCTAAGATATATTGTGCAGCCCTAGTCCAGATTAGACATGTGATAAGGTTCTTTTCTTCAGGGTCACATGGAAGGTGAAGTGTGGGGCCTGGCCACTCATCCCCATCTCCCGCTCTGTGCCACAGTCAGCGATGACAAAACCCTACGCATATGGGACCTCTCTCCTAGCCACTGCATGCTGGCCGTACGCAAACTCAGGAAAGGTGAGTCAGCTGCACTAACTAACAAAATCTATGGGGTTTAATAAACAACCACTCTCCCTTCCACACAGGGGGCCGCTGCTGCTGCTTTTCCCCTGACGGAAAAGCTCTGGCCGTGGGTCTGAATGACGGCAGCTTCCTCATCGTGAATGCGGATACCCTGGAAGACCTGGTGTCCTTCCACCACCGCAAGGACATTATCACTGAAATCAGATTCTCACCAGGTACTGTTTGCTCCTTTAACATTACAAATTAAGCTAATTTAACCTGGTTGGAGCAGGTAGAGAGTAGATACTGCTTTCCCTCTGTGAATGAGCTGTGAATGAGCAGTTGTGCTGTAGGCCTGACCCACATCATTGGCTTGTTGTAATAAGGCCAGACTGAGGGAGCGTAAGAAATAAATGGCAAACAGTGGGGGAGGACCAAGTGAGAGCAAGAAACTAAACTCTTCTGGCTGCACGCTTAACCTCAATCCAGTGCACACGGGATCTTGTTTCACAACCCAACACTTCTCATTCCTCGAGAATCTCAAGTCATTCTGTATTTATGCAAGCTCACAGAATTAGATCTTAGTGTATTAGATATTAGTGTTTTCCCAATCCTCATACACATCTTTGTTTGTTGACTCAGGCATTGGAAAGTACCTCGCCGTAGCATCTGCAGACACATTTGTGGATATTTACAATGTGATGAGCAGCAAACGGGTTGGAGTTTGTAAAGGATGTCATAATTACATCACCCATCTTGACTGGGATAAGAGAGGTAAACATGAGTCTTCAGTTTCACAGGCTAACATTACTTAATTCTGATTGTCACAAATATCACTCTGGGCTCTTTCATTGACAGGAAAACTATTACAAGTCAATACAAGTGCTAAGGAGCAGTTCTTTTTCGAAGCACCTCGTGGCAAGAGACAGACCATCCCACCTACAGAAGTGAGTTTGGTGGTGGCACAGCAGCAGTTGTACTATTGTGGCTTGGCCCATATTTTCTCCTGAGGATCAGAGAAGGCTCAGAGAAGGGCAATAAAGCATTAGCACGTCCCACTTTTCACCAGTATAGACCTAATTTTCTCAGTGGAGGCGGGATTGTTTTAGACAAAGGGGCATTCAGACACTAGTCTTTGCTAAGGTTTGAGATATGTTAAGTAGAGTTGAAAATGGCTGTCATTACAGTTGTGTCTTCACTTTTTTAAAATACTAATCCTGTTTGATTCAGGTGGAGAAGGTTGACTGGAGTACATGGACGTGTGTCCTGGGACCATCTGTTGAGGGCATCTGGCCTGTGATCAGTGAGGTCACTGAGGTGACCTCTGCCTGCCTTAGTAATGACCGAAAGGTGCTAGCCACAGGAGATGACTTAGGATATGTCAAGCTCTTCAGATATTCCGTCAAGGCAAGACACTTAGGAATAACTACAAGGCCCAATGAATGCAAATGATATGTAAATTCTAAGCGAATGTCAGAAGTGTTAAATTAATGTTATTCCTTTTCCTTAGGGCAAGTATGCAAAGTTCAAACGTTATGTGGCCCACAGTACACATGTTACCAATGTGCGGTGGAGCCATGACGACAGCCTTCTGGTGACAGTGGGCGGGTCCGACACGTGCCTCATGATCTGGGCCCATGAGCCTGAGGGCCATCGGGAGATCCGACAGTGTGACAGTGAGGAGTCTGACATAGACAGTGAGGATGATGGAGGTGGGTACAGAGTGTCTTTAAGTGTATTTTAGAAAGAGAGTAATATTACATGATCATTTTTTAGGTTATGACAGTGATGTGACAAGAGAAAATGAGATCAACTACACCATCAAGGCCTTATCTACTAATATGCGACCAATGACTGGTGTGAAACCTCACCTGCAGCTCAAAGAACCCACAGTCGATGAAAGGTAATCCAAATTAAAGAACGTAAACCTGTAGCAATATCACTGCTTTCTAAAAGGGTCAGAAACACTTAAAATAAATTGTAATCTCATTTGGCTTTTCTCACTAAGAGAAGTTCTTTTCCTCTGTGTATGTCTTGTCTCTGCTCTCTTAAGTAACTCAGCCTTTTCTGCTTTTCTTCTTTTCTTTAATGCCTGTCCATCTGTTATTATCCTGCTTCGTTTTTTCATTCTACTTGAAGACAAGGTGTGGTCAGGTGAGTTCTTGACTTAAGAGTTAGTTTATGTAAAACATGCCCATAATAAAACAAGACTTGATTTATAAAGAATACTTATTTATAAAGAATACTTGAATGATGTATTAAATCATGAAGCCACCTGCAGACAAAGATTAACTCACATTTATTGTTTGTTTATAAAACAAGTCATCCAATGCTCTGTCCAGTTGTCATAGAAATGGACTTTGGTCATGGTTACTGCTGCTTAATACTGTATTTTATTTGTCCTCAGTGTCTGAGGTTGAGTGCATGATCCATCAGTCACTCATGAACCCCAAGTAAGAAAATATTGTCTAACTTTTGTGCTCTGTTTGTTTGTGCTGCCTTGAAGGGGATCGAGGTAAGTGTTTTTCTCCTCACCACAGTCTCATCACATGATCTGATTGTCATGTACTTTCTTTATTAATTTATAGACTTCCCTTTATTTGTATACAGTGTACATTATTATTTAGAAGGCTATGTTGTTTGTGTGTTAAATGAATAATTTATTACTACAGTATATTAAAGGTGCAATGTGTAACTTTTTTCTGGTGGTGGCCCATCACCTGCTTATCTTCATAGATTATTGGTTTTTGAATGCTCTAATATACGGCATTTATCTTGTATTTATTCAATGTTTTATAGCTAAAACACCACACAGCTACTCAAAGGTTTAATGCCATATTG